TCTTTTGTACACGATTAGATCAATTCAATAGCAGCAGAAGCATTTTATATTAAAATCGATGCGTATTACCAACGCCTGGGGAAAACCCAATTGGATAAACTGGCACTTTCCTCGAAATAAAAGTATTCTTATCAGTATATGTTGTTTTTTAATATAATAAGTAAATTCTTGTTTTGTTTATTGAACTAAAAATTTCACTTAAATGTTAATTAGAAGAAATTCTGCAAATCGTGAGTCAGAAAAACAAGACAAAGCACAGAGCTGTCAGCTGTTAAAATATACAGAGTTGCTTTCCAAAAGTCTCTCAAATAGTCTGTTCCAATAGCAGTCCGGTTTACAGGATTTAGTCAGAACTTACAGGAAGTCGTTCCTATTGACATAAAACCTGTAAGTGGGAACACATTTGAGAGAGTAACTGAGCAACTGTTCCTAGTCAGAAGTTACAGGATTTAGTCCGGAGTTTCTTTTCCTGTAAGTTCATGAAAAGTGTCAAACGATCAGCTGATTTGCATGTGCAAGCAAAAACTAACAGCGGTGAAAGCAAGTACCTTATATTTGTAAAAAAATGGAAGTAAACAACGAAATGTTTGAATATGTATAGATTTTAATAATTATTTAGTGATATTTCAGCTAAATCAGTGTTATACAAATGACATGTAAACAAACCGACTCAAGTTTTTACAGGAAATAGTGCTTTTTGCGTTCCTATGCACTTCTGCATCTGTTCTGCTTTTACTCTCATTTGAGAGTAAAATTGTAGTTTGACAGTTGCACAGGTTTTAGTCCGAAGTTCAAAGGAACAGACTAAAAAACTAATTATTTTCACAAATGTTCAAGAATTTCTTATAATTATGTTGCAATTGATGAACACTTTCATGATTAACGAAAAACAATTTAAAGGTATTCATATTGATGTAAAAATATTATAAATTTGCGTCAGATATGAAGCTCCATCGCATGATAGGGTATAATGCAAGGCGCATCAATTACAAGTTGCGTTCCAGATGCTTCACGATTTGCAGGTTTTTACAGGAAGTCGTTCCAGGTGACCACCTCCCATAAGGTTTATTAATGGAGAAAACAGCTGTTCCTGCAAATCGTGAATTTTGTGAATATCGTAAAGCATCTGGAACGCAACTACAGTTTAAATATCCGCATATATTTACACATACATATACGTAAATATATACCCTACAAACAAATGCTCCCGAAATCTTTAAGAGTATCGCAAATTTGCATAAATCGTTTCATGATATCGATACTTTCTAAAATATCGAACATTTCTAATTCCTTCCATGATTCAATAACTACAGGTTGTAGCAATCGTACAAAAACAATATTTACCGTTGGTATGAACTCCTTGTGTCATCAACATCTTTATCTATTCCTATTCGTATGTATATGTATACCCTACATACCAGGATTTCATAGAATACTGAAAGGTTTCAAAATTTTTTTAAGAATTTTCTTTAAGATGTACAGAAGTTTCTTTACCATTTCTTGTCAACCGCTTCATTTGTTTTTCTTTAAGGATTCCTAAAAGAATCGTAACATATTTGCGATACTCTTAAAGATTTGGGAGCATTTGTTTGTAGGGTATATATTTGCGGATATTTAAACAAAGCAAAACAGGCGATAATTTGGCAAAAGCGTGCTCATAAGAAGAAGCATGGCTTCTATGGCTATCACCAGCGTTGCCGCTTTGGTAATTTTTTACCAAAACTTTTTTTCTTTTTAGAACGAGTTTGGTAATTTGTTAATTTAATTTTCAGTTTGGTAATTTTTTTCAACGCAAGTCTTTCCTTTTAAGTTTAGTACTAACTTATTACTTATAAAAATTTATAACTTTGAACCTTCTTACAATTGCACAAAACAAAAAAATTTGCTTATGTACTTAGATATGTATGTGTCTACACCTTAAGAGAGGCAAACATTGTAAGGGCTCTTTAATGTAACAATTTGCTTTGACAACTCAGAACTTTTAATATGAGTTCGCAATGTAGCAATTTAAGTAATTCCCAATATGGCGGCTCGATCACTGTCCCCACATTCCCACAAATCATGGTTTTGGAAAATTGTTACTTCATAGGACTAATTACAATTTTGCGATTGAATACGAATGTGACCCATTTATAAAATTGTAAAAGTAAATTGTATCTATTGTTTAACGATACATTTTCTGGTTTCATGTTTTGGTTTTAAGCTAAGTAAAATACTCTAGGTAAAAAACTGTATGTTAAACACCTTTTAAATGTTTGTACATAATCTCTGAGCGATTTTTTTGTTTCATGTTTTAAAAATATTTACGAATTGTTATAGATCTAAGCTGGCCACAATCCCAGACGTGCTGTATTTGTTTGGAATTTTATGCTCATAAAAATTTGGTAATTTTTTCTGAGTTTGGTAATTTTTTTGTAGAGCTTTGGTAAATAATTAAGAAGCTTTGTGGCAACACTGGCTATCACCTGTAATTGATGCGCCTTGGATTCCTTCTCATTTCTTTTCTTTTCATTCTTTTTACTGCCCAACAATTTACGGCCCAAATTTGCCAACACATACCATTTTTTACTTTGTAATTTGTTAATTTTTTCGGGGAAAGTGCTAATAAACATTTAAAATGCTGCCTAAACTTAAAATATCAGCATTTTTATTGAAGGTAAATAGTTAAGGTTGGCTGGGAAGCCAAATTAACCCAATGAAGCAATTAAAGTCTTCTTTCAATAATTCCCACAGCGTCTGGAGCGGATTAAGCAGCAGTGTAGTGGTTGCCTTTTTGGTGTTCTTTATGGCGAAGGCACGTTGCTACTTATGGGTTTCAATGTGGAATCAACCATTGGACACCTAAATTATGAACAAATTCAGTTTAAGTTTCCAGCAGAATTGGATTTGTGTGGGTTGGTGAAATTTGGGGATTGCACTGATGCAGAGGCGCACTTAACTGAGATCTTGAAAGACGTCGATATTACTGACAACCCAATATTATTACAGTGCGAATTAGGTACTCTTGTGGGACTGCGAGCGCATGTTTTTATGCACAGCAAATTGGAGGAGGTGCCTTATGAAGTGATGGAAGCAGAAGAATTGCATAGTGATTTTTGCTTTACGAGACTGAAATGCAGTCTAGACTTTTACACACAGCAAACCGTGGAGGTAGATACGCATATTACATAAATTCTTCATACATATAACTTAAATACATCTTGTTCACAGGCAGTGCAACGAGAAATGCATTTGTTGCGTAAAATGTTCTCAGGCGGTAGCTTGGCGTTTTGCATAGACTCTACTAAGATTTATCTGACCAGTTCTGGTGCTCAAGGTCAGGGCTTAAAAAATGATGCGCTAATAAGTAATTTAGTGAATGCAGTTAGAAAAGCCATTAGTAGTGCGGATGAAAAGCATGAAGTGGTAGAAAAAGGTAACAAAAAGAAAGGGCAAAGTACGAGTATACCATTGGCAAGCGTATTCGGAGCACTGGGTTGTGCTTACGACGTACTTAGCATTAATGTACTGCGTTGTAAAACACGTGAGCGTACTGCTGTGGATGGAGCAGGGGGAAGCAACGAAGGGCCACCACCGGCGGTAGCTATGTGTGTCAAACGTGAAGAAAGCAAGGTATGCATGCCGTTAGAAGTGGAAGCAATGGCCATGCTATGCAAAAGCACCAAAGTTAGTCGACTCTACGACATACTCATCGAGAGCATATGTCGGTCATTGCGATTGTTCGAGCAAAGCATGGTTGAGCGGTTGGAGGAATCCACAGAATCACCTGAGCTACTTAGACCCTCTGGTTATCACTTCTTTCCTAAGGTATGACCTGTGAGTTAATATACTACAAGTATTTTTTAAGCAAACAACAAAACCGGCTTAAATTCTCATTAAAAAATAAAAGATTACCGTTAGTTAACTAATATTCCGTCGAATTGATAAACTTCTTTTTTTGAAGTCGGTTAATAATTTTCAAAATGTAATTGACTAATACTTGAAACTTGAAATATTTCTCAGGAATTTGGCCACTTTTTATCATGCTCCTACTTGGACGGCGTATCTGATGATGAAGCGAATGTACAAGAGAAACGTAAAAAGTTGCACCGCCACTTCGGTTTACCCGCAATACGCCCGTATTTTCGTCGTGCCAATCGCTGCATTTTCCGAAATGACCTTACGGGTGTAATACCTTTGGTAAACACGCACGTGGGCTTGCGTCCAAGTGGCATTGTCGATGGCAAGCAATACCTCGTACAGGGCAATTACTATTACTATCACTATCTACAGGAGCAAATGCAGGATAAAGGATGGGGTTGCGCATATCGATCATTGCAGACGATTTGCTCGTGGTTTCTACTGCAAGGATACACAGAAAAGCCAGTGCCAACACATCGAGAGATTCAACAATACTTGGTACGTATTGGCGACAAGCCATCGAATTTCGTTGGTTCATCACAATGGATAGGTTCAACAGAAGTCAGCATGTGCCTTCAGGGTTTTCTTAATGTCGATTCCCGAATACAGCATGTTACTTCAGGTGCCGATGTAGCAACCTTAGCTTCCGATTTGGCTATGCATTTCCAAACACAAGGTACGCCAATTATGATCGGTGGCGGTGTGTTGGCACACACCATTATCGGAATAGATTACTGTTCGCAGACCGGGAAGGTTAAGTTTTTAATATTGGATCCTCATTATACGGGAGCCGATGATTTGCAAACAATACAGGCGAAAGGTTGGTGTGGCTGGAAAGGCGGTGACTTTTGGGACAAGAAGAGCTACTATAATCTCTGTATGCCTCAGCGACCGATTATGTTCTAGGTAGGCCAGTGGGGAAGTTGCGAACGTTTTCACGTGTTTTAGTCAGGGTTTGAATTGCTGCCGAGGTAAGCAGCTCTTCGTCATTTTCAATACGTTTGCAATGGCTTAGCTGCGACAATTAAATGTAAATCAGCAAAAGCGAAAAAAGGACATGAAATCATTTGACAAAGTCGATTCCATCAACGAAAAGTCATGAACGACTTCCATATAAACGGAGTCCAAAGTCATTGAAGACTTAACATGGCCGTACAAGACCCTAAGTGACTAATGCATGAAGAAGCAAGCGTACTTCGTTGATCAAGTGATGAAGATATGTATCTACTTAATGAGAGTAACGCAGCAGAAAAAAATCAAAAGAAAAAATGAGAATACACAAAACTACTGCTACAGCAAAATTTTCTAAACTGGTTGCTTCGGCTGGCTGTCTAAGCAAAAACAAACTTCGATTTAGTGCTCATCAAGGCGCATCCATATAAGGTAGTAGCAATTGCATATAAGTAAAAATCCTGTGTAATTTGTGATTGCTTTTTGGTACATCAGGATGTGCTCATTTACACACGGCGATTGGAAACGAGCAACACCAAAAGGGAATATGAAAAATAGCGTCGACAAAAGTTTCCATGTATAAACACAGACTTAAGCAAAAGCAAATGATTTCATATCTCTTTTTCGGTTTTGCTGTTTGCTTTCGCTGATTAATATTTCATAGTCATAGCTAAGACATTGCAAATGCATTGAAAATAGTCAAGCAATTTCAAACCCTGGTTTTAGTTTACTAATTTTATACGTGTAAAGATCCGTCTCAATATTTAGTTTGTTACCATTTTTGGCTTTATTTTTTTTTTTGTGTGGTGTTAACCACTTATTGTTGTAGTTAAAATAGCATATTATATATTTGGCGATATAATGTGTATCAAAATGTTTTTTGTTTTTTTTTTAGAAAAAGTAGCCAAACAAAAGCCAGCGAGAGCAGCATTTGTAATATTAAGCACCCATGTACGTATTTTTATTAAAGATTATATACATACATACAGTGCGAGAGACATTTTTAATCTATTGTAAGATGCAAATTTAAATTACCCATTCTACAACGGCCTCTTTCACGTAAATGGGGAACTATCCGCCGCTCTTGGAGTATCGTTTCCAAAATCGTTTAACGTCATCATGCCCGTTTTTAGTGACAACCATCGTGCGCGTTCGTTCATTCATGTGTACCAGAACATTTATGGATTGCGCATAATCACGCAACGTCACAAAATCAGCCTGTGATAGGAACTGATTGTAAACCACACCTTCGGTGTAGGTGAAACGATTACGCTCCAGTTCCCACAACTTAATTTGGTCTACAACTGTTGGTGGGAGTGGAGACTTTGATTTAATAGCTGATTCGGTCAGTTTCATGTTCGGATGGGAATACTGTTCCAAGTAGCTAACAATTTGGTCCGCCGTAATACCACCGCGTAGCGCTTGTCGTACAGAATCGCGGGTCAATACACCCACAACCAAGTTTGGAAAACGATATAACAATTCGGTGAACAAACCCAATACTGCCACTTGCAGCGGAGAGTCGGTGTATGCATAAACTCGGTAATTGGTTTCAACCACAATATAACCACTCTCCTGAACCTTGTCCTCCTCGCTTATTACAGCTGGTACTGCTGCATGCTTATTTGTTACGTTTAACGCTAGACGTGTCGGGTAAAACCGCCCCTCCTTCCGTTTACGTTGAAATACAAGGCCGAATTCCCGTAAATGTTGCAGAAATGTTAACATTTTAGGGCTCATACCCTCCGAGCTGTAGTCACGTCCTAGTGTGGAGAAGCTTAGCTGAAAAAGCATTGAAAGACACTCAGACAGCGAAAGGCCACGTTCTTCGCAAGTATCCAAGTACTGAAGCATGAAATGCCACACTTGCGATTGAGTGTCAAGTAAAAGGAACTGGAAGCCTTGACGTGTAATTGTAATACCATCGCGTTCGTCACGCTTCATGAGATTGGCATGAAGTAGTATACGTACCGCGTCTGGACTGATAACTTCACTGTCTTGGCCTTTGCTTGAACTGCCAGTGCCCACCATGTAATGCAGTACACAACGCCAACGGGCCATTGCATATGTATCGAGGAAAGCAATATCACGTGGTTTCGAATCCTTTTCCAGCGTATGAGACATTGACCAAGGTTTGCCACCACCTAACAAAGCAATTTTTAAATTCTTTTTAAATGTTGGACTAAGCTCCCAGGCTGATAGACCACCGGGAATAGCTGTAACACGCCAAACGTTGAGCTCACTTAGGCAAGCGGTAGACGCAGCTTGTTCTCTGAATAATAAAAGGATAATAAAGATGGAAAGATACGAAATAGGCGAATATTTACTCACTTTGCATAATGCTGAGAGCCCCATGATGCGACCACAGCTTGAGGTACTGGTTGTTCGACGAAGAGTATACGTATTACAAATTGGCGAGCTATCTCAGGCAGTTCTCTGTAAACGGCTAAACAAATGGTTGGGTAGTTGTATAATTTTTCCAGTGTGTCTTGTGTCCGAGTACGTAGATACTGCTGTAGATCCATGCACTGCAAATTGGCCGGCTTTGGTATCAGCGCATATGTGGATGTAGTGGTACCTGACCGACCAGGTTTTGCATCGGCCATGTTTATTATTATTTATATTTAGTTTTGGTCAAGTTACAATCCGGCGTGAACTACGAGATAAACGTCTTTTTTAACAGCAGAGCCGGACAAAAAAGAGTATCACCAAAAATACATCTTCCGCTTCTTTTTCGTTCTGTCCATTCACAAGGAAAGAAAACAAATGAAATTTTTTTAAGCTACGACCGCACTAAGCGACGCGGCACTGCAGCGGAACTGCGCGACGCTTTTGGTATACCGCACTGCGCTGCAAAATTTTTAATTTATTTGTTTCAAAACCTTATTTTCCTTAGCAAACTCTAATCAAATTTTGTTTCTTTACATAAAACGTACTTCTCGAATAAAATGTATCTGAATATTCACTCACAATTCGAAATGCAATACCGGCGAATTAAAAATATTGTATGAAGTGAATTGTTATGTCGTCCCGCTGGGTACACCGCACTATCTGGCACCGGAACTGCGCGACACCACGCGACGTGGCATTCTCGCCTAGTTGGTCAAATTTACCGCGCAGCGTCGCGTCGCGTAGCTCCGCTGCTGCGTAGTGCGGTATGCTCCATAAGAATCCATGCTTGAACCAAAAATACAAGATCACGTAACTTGTTCCAATCACACAGCACTTCATTTTATATGATAAATTTGTAATAAATCAAAAATTTAATTTAAATCGCCGCAGAAAACACATTCAATAAGAGGTAGAAGACGGTATAAACAAAACCGAAAAACATCAAAAACGCTACAACTTTTTTTCTGAAAATCGATTACAAATATAACGATGGCTGATTAGGTGATCTGTAGACGTTGGTTCATGGAATCCATGCAAAAAAAATTTTTGCCGCACTGTGTAATCTCGTGTCGCGTCGCATAGTGCGGTCGTACCTTCAAAGTGAAACGATAGCTATGACTGGCAGCTAGGCATGGGTAACACTGCGCTGCGCGGCGCAATTACGTTAACACCATAGCCCGAGTTGCCGCGCCAACACAAATATATGAAAAGCGCTAGCGCCATTAACACCAAGAAGCATATGAGACACACACAATTCGCCTTAATTCTTTAAAAAATTACACGTATTTGTGTTGGTTTTTGAGTGGTGAGAACGCCAGAAACTTATGTACCTTGGCAAATTTAAAGCTTTTACTCAAGAGTGATGAGAATATCGTTGCATTTACTACATTCCTTACAGTTAAATTCGGTCGGCGGTACAATCGCCGAAAATTAAAGAAATAATGGACATGACACCACTGTATTGTGTATGAATGACACTGTATGACAATGGGTACTGTGGTGACACTCAGATGGCGCCGTGTTCAAATTAGTACACTGCGCTATTGCGTTGAGTTAGTGCGCTGACACCACAGATGGCGTCGGCGTTATTGAGCTAACACCATGATTAAATAATACAAGGTTCGATAAACTGACAGTTGTCTCTCTCGCACCGCTCCCTTAGCAGTGGCACCGTGTTGCTTCTTTGCAAATTTACATGGAAACAGTGTAGCTTTGGTGTGAAATAAAAGTATAAGCTTTTGTGCAATATGTTTATTTGTATATGCATATGAAGCATATTTAACTGATGAAAACATAAGCATTGGATGTTTACATCAATCTCATAGTAGTCTTATTTTAATTTTGAGCCATTTTGCAGTTTTTATACAGCTAAATAGCACCTAAATGACGTAATTCACGTAGATATATCAATATTACGTTCAGCATTTCGTTTAAAATGCTAGATTTCGTGCAAATACATTAGAATTTACAAAAGGAATTTCACTACTAATTGCCTACTTTGCGTACTTTTCTACTACCATTTTCGCAACAAGGGATTGCATTCTTGCCCTTTCTCTGTCCTTCGTAAATGCAACCTTTTGTAAGGGAGTGTCAAACCGCAGCTGTCAATAATTATCTAACCTTGTATTATTGAATCATGAGCTAGCACCATAAAAATTGCGCCATTACCCATTGCCAGTGGCAGCTGTCAAAAAGAGTAAACAAAAATTCGCGCCTAATATTTTCAATAGTCGAATACACCGATCAGCTGTTTACTTCTGTTTCTGTAAGTTTTGCGTTTTTTACTATTTCTTTAATTCGCTCTCTGTGAGTGTAATTCTCTCAATTCTTCCATTCTTCTTCGTCCTGATAATTATCTGCTAGAAAAGAAAAGAAACAAAACCATAAATTCGCCTTGGGACTATTCACAATGTTATAAACTATTCACAGTTTTCTTATTAGCAGCTGTGCGCGCAATATTTAATTTTCGGCGGCTTGTTTCAAAAAAAAAACATATTGCCCAATTGGTGAGGAGCTTTTACATTTTTAATTACGATGAGCGCCAGCGATGGGATTTTTAATAACTTACGGCAAAAACTTGATGTTTTGGGTTACACACAAACATTGCCATTGGCTGGTATACCGTTGGTTGGAGCGCTCTTCGAAGATTTGGTCAAATCCACGGAGAGTCTACGAGATGCCAAGAAAAAAATTGTCGACTTGTTAGAGGTAATGTTTTGTGGAAGGCTCTGTGATTGAAATGTATATATAAAATACACAACCAACTATAACCGGCAATATGTGGTTTGACCTCATTCTGTTGTCATGGTCAACATATATAATTTGTGTCGTGGCAAAACATTTGATGTACGTACAAATGTAGTAGTTTTTACTCTTTTTGTATGGTTTAGGAAAAGGCATGTTGGGAGTTAGGAGTTGAACCATACAAGTGTGACAATTCACGCCTGTTAGCTGAGTGCAATCAGCTGCATCAACAGAGTTTAAAGGATCGAGAGGAATATGAACAGCGTAACTTCGGTGAGGCTATTTAATTATCAAATATTTGTACATACATATAAATTTTACACTAAATTTTTTAATAATGCACGCTAGAATTAAGTCAGAAAATCCGTAACCTTGTTACGGATAAAATCCACCTAGAGGAGCACTGCCAGCAGCTGCAGCAGCAACTTGCATCATTGCTAGCAAAACAGCAAAGCTCATCACTTGCGCCCAATATGAAAAATGCTAAAGATAAAGGTAGTTTTTACTTTGCTCGGTCGAACGTTTAAAATTGATTACAGATAAAACACTTTTCGCAGTAAAGAAACCTTTTATTAGCACAGTGCGTTCTGGCGAACGTATACCACCACTTATGGACAATGCTAGTAATTTACGATGCACTAAATGTAACACACAAACTATACATTCGCATGCACTAAATGGTGTCGGTAGTGCCCCCAGCGCAGCATTGAAAATTGAGTTGGAAAAGTTAGAGAATAGAGTAAAAGATTTAACAGAGCAATTGGAGTTCTATAAACGAAAGGTAATTACTGAGGCTTTTTGATTATAGTAGTGATAATGGTATTTATATTTTTCCCTCTCATTTCGCCAGATTGAATCGCGTGATCGCGAAATACGTCGCTTGAATGATCTACTTATTGGTGGTCGCCCTCCCGCAGCACTTGCAAAGGACTGCTGTTTCAAAGATGTGCGTGGTTTGTCCGAAGATATAGAATTATTGCAGCGAGAGAAATCTCAGAGTTTGAATAAAGTACGTGAGTACCAGGAACAAATGCATGAGGCCATGGAACGAGCACTTTCGTTGGAGACCCAGAACAAGCAGTTGCAGAGGGAGCTTGATGAATTGAAAGAAGCGGCGCTGTCCGTGGAAACACAAGCAAATACGGAAATTGCACAGCGCGAAGAAGAGGTGGAAGAGTTGCAAAAAGAGTTGAAGAAACTGCGCTCAAGGCAAGAGAGGGTTGGCGATAATAGAACGCAGGTAGGTAGAAGAACCGATGGCGTGGGAGATGGCAATGCATGTGAGACAAGCGCGGTTGCTACGCTGCATGCAGACAAACGACGCCTAAATGAACGCATCAACGAGCTTACACAGCGCGGTAAGTAGCTGGAAAAAATATACCTGAATAATTGTTTTAAAATTTTGTAATTTAGATACGGAATTGAAGAGTGAAAATGAGCGCCTGCAGAAGAAAGTAATCAAACTCAAAGGAAAAATACATGGCATGCAAAAAGGTTAGAAAATAGTAACAAATTTTAAGTTATTTCAAATGCATGTAATTGAATATTTTGACTTGTTTCAATATATTAAATTTATTTAGAGCTTCAAGATAATGTGCAACAAAAAGATCAACGAATCGACGAAGAAAAAGTTAGAATCAAATCTGAGCGCGACTTTTTCCAAAAAGAATACTTGCGTCTGATAAGTAAGGCCGGTTCAGAAAAGGTAGTTAAAATTATTTCTCTACATTTTGAACTTTTCATTTCACAAAATACCTTTTTTAATTTATCAGGAAATTGACTTCCTACAATCTCAAATAAAATCTAAGGACGATGAACTTCGTTTGCTGCGCGCTGAGCTTTGTCTACGCCAACAGGAACGCCTACTGCCGACGGTTGCCACAGCAAATGCGGCTAAAATTACCGCTCCAACTGAACGCTGCGACTTCAGACAAGCGCCACTAGCCAGCGCACGTTCCAATAACTCTACTAAGTCCACATATAGTGCCTCAAGTAATGATTGCGTACAAGCTGTGGTCTTGCGAGCGGAGCGTGAACGTGATTGCGCACGCGCTGAATTGGAACGTGTTCGTTGCGAACGTGATACGCTACGCGAAAAGCACGTGTCCATGCTGCAAGCGCAAGCGATGGATACTCAAAAGTCCCAAGCACATCTAAGCGAGCTGAATGCGCGCATACGACAGTTAGAACGTGAAAATCGTGATTTGAATTCAGCGCGCGTACCAAGTGAAACACATATTGTATTGCTCAAGGAGGAAATTGAAGAATTGAAGCGAAGGCTTTTTGAATTGCAAGAGGAAAACTCTAAGCTGCGCACCAATCAAAATCAGATGAAGTGGGTAATCGGTGGATAATATGTACAAATCCCTAAAATTATTCATTGCTTTTTATTCATTATTGCTTTTTAGAATTTTGAATGAGCAAAGAGAACGCACGCTTCAGGAATATCATAGTAAGCTTACCATAGCAGAGCGGCAGTTGCAAACCGCAGATACGCGTTTAAATGATTTGGATACAAATCGTGAGACCACACATCGTGAAGCTACACAGTTGCGCAATGAAGTTGCTGCATTGAAAAAAACTTATGTCTCGCTTGAGAATGAGAAAGATAAAATATTGGTATGTATGCACATACATATTTACAAACAGATAGTATTGTCGCCATCAACACTGATGACATTAATTGCGATTTTTGGGAAATATGTTATTAAAATTCCGATATATCCACCTGATCTCGAAAGACAAAGTTTCAAACAATGTCTTAAAATATTTCTTGGGTTTATTAGAAAAGTCATTAAAGCATTACATGCGATCATTTCTTGTATCTAAACATTTTCTTGAAACTAAATATATATGTATGTAATGATTTTCTTAATACAGCAACAATTAGATGCCAAAACTGAACGTGCGTACCAGTTAGAGTTTGAACTTAAGATTTGCAAGGAGAAACGAATTGCTTTGGAAAAGGAAGTTAAAGATTTAGAGGATCAGTTAAGGTTAGTGGTGCAATTTATTTATCTGTATATTTATTAGTTTACTTCTTTTATCTAAAATCGATTATAATCTGCTTTAAAACTTTTTCGAAAAATGGCAATATCCATAGCTAAAAGTTTATGTATTTGTATGTAAATTTAGTACATTTATATTACGAATTATCGAATATACGTATGAAGCAGTATTCTCCAGTAATTTGCCAGTAGCCTGGATAAGAGGTTGTCGTATTTTACTTTTGGCAGGTTTTGGGAAGTCGCAACTGAAGTTTGGAATGCAATTTCTCAGAAACGCGACGATAGATTTTCCACAAAGCCTCGGAGCATGTTACTAGTTCAGGAAATTCTCAAATTATTTTTTTGTTTATTGCTAATTATTTTTGAATATATGTACGTTCTTCTTTGGTAAAATTATGTCGAATGCATGATTCAATAATGAAAGGTTTTGTCATGATTCAATAATGAAAGGTTTTGTAAGAAAAACTTTCTCTCGCTCTAATTTTATCAATGACACTCCCACCCTACTCCTAAAAACAAAAACAGTGATATTTCTTTTCCAAATTTCTTTGCAAGTTTTAAGAACATTTTTAAATTGTTAGTAGTGAAATTTTTACTTTTTAAATTTGAAGAAATGTTTGTTCTGCATTCGCTGGCGCCAACAAGACAAAATGGGTGAGAATCGTTGGACTACAGAAATTCAATGTTAAGAGACGAAATTCCCTTAAATGCCGAAATGTATTTGTCGATATTCGTGGAGACCTCTTGATTCTGCCAAGTCGCTGTAAAGTAAAGCGTTCAATGAGCCAACGAAGGTATTTAGGTATTGTACTCCACGACACAATCCTGGTGTCTCCGAATGAGATTTTGACGCAATATAACATTGCCAAACCGCATCCATAGGCCCAATCGTCACACGACAGCTCGGTTTAGTCAATGGCGCGATGTAATTGCACACTTAAAAGGTGTACGCACGAGGCGAATGTTGGCTGGCGACCAACTTTATTGAAAGCGATTAGCTGAAAGTAGAATGCAAAGTTGAACAATACAAACGCCTTTTTATGGCGAATATTTTAATATTTTTTTATATTTTGATATTTTTAGTCATTCAAATTTTTTTTCGTGCAACCCGGCGGGAGTTGAACGCAAAAGTTGCCTGAAAAATCGACTCGTGCGAAAGCCCCATTACGCCACTTCTCATTTGACGATGTAGATCACGTTCCCTATCTCAGTCGTTCAGTAGCTGCGTGCTCTGAGTTCGTCCGGCACCAATCGCCAACTGCGGCTGTGCAAGCCAGTGTTGAATATTTTCCCCAGAACATAAAAAGTGCGACATCAAAGAATTCGAAACAATCGAGCCATAACCGCGAAAGAAACGTAAGCTCCAAATTTTTTTATTTGCCGTTTTTTTGTTTAATAAATATTGCATATTTTCCGCAAACAAATAGCTTCTTCATGTCCATCAACTGGCAAACAAATACAACAAAAAAAAAGCTGAAAGTGGACCATCCATTCTCGAGTTATGCGCCATCTGACGTACGCAAGTTTGGTATAAACATAGAAATATTTATTTTTAATAACAATAGGGGGTTATATTCGATGTAAATAAGCTTGTTTAAATTAAATAATTAAATCAAATTCGTTTTTGTTTTAAAATACCACCATTCACTATTATCCACACGTTTTTATAGAATTTAGCTCCCATTTTAGGAAGTGTGATTGAATTCTTCCCCTTTTTCTTCTGCTTCCAAAAACCATCCCTGTGGGTGGGAGTGCCAAATTTTAGAAAAAAGCTACTTACAAAACCTTTAATAATTGAATCATGAGGTTTTGTAAGAAAAACTTTCTCTCGCTCTAATTTTATCAATGACA